GACGGGTGTTTTAGGACGAGTGTGTGTTTACATCTTTGTGTATATGTTTGTGTGTGACGTGAGACCCATCTGGACTCTGGCCGCTGAATTCTTCATCTGCAATGCCAAGAGCCTGTCAGATACAAGAGCCAAGTGTACTTGACGCAAAATACAAACACACACACAGCGGCAACCATTGACACGGTTTGTGCTCTTAAAAGAACAGTGCACCCAAAAATGAAAGTTCTGTCATTATTTACTCACCCTCATGTTGTTTCTTCTGAGGAACACATTTGGAGGTGTGAGGCAGAATGTTCATGCTGCTATAAATGGTCCATATGGGTCATATGCTATATTCCAAGTCTTTTGATTTGTGTGCACAAACTTAAATTGTTGTTCACTGATAATTTTGTCCACTCCTTAGACTTATCATTTTTTTTAATTAAATTCCGAGTTAAAATGCTTGTTTTGATTATGATCTTAATCATAATCTTATCACAATATAATCACTTCTTCTGTCTCTGAAATAATAGACAGTCCGAGAGCAATATAAACTAACAATATTACAGCCTAACAGTCACTATCCAATCAAATCTCAATAGAAGTGCCGGACAAAATTATTCTGCAGTGAATATTTTATTGAACTCAGAAAAATATATAATGGAAATAAAATGCTGCTACACATATTTGTATGAATGAGTGCATCTTACAAAGGCACATGGACACAGGTCATGTTAAATTGATGATTCTGGATCCAATGTTACTGTTGAGATAAATGAGGAATGAGTCCACCGTCCAGAGCTCAGCTCTGCTGCCTTCAGCTTAATGAGTCTGACGCAAACGCAGACATAAAACGCACTCCTGCACACGCTGCTCTGTCATCCACCCCTGCCCAGCGTCTGTCAACTTCTGCCTGTGTTCACTGCACAGTATGTACTGTATATTGTCTACTGCTTACAAATTGTTTGTAAAATAGATGCTATACACATGCTATACACAATGTTAAATAGTGCAAAGTGAATGCTACATTGTCACATGACTTCAGTGCACACGTTTAAAGGGGTTATTCACCACTGGCAAGATGGGGTTTTAGGGGACCACCGGATGATGCTTTTTACAAAAAATAATACACATTATTCATTTACTTATACTGTAACAATACAAAGCTGGTTAAACCTTGGTGAACTTACCCTTTAATTCAGTGAGTAGCATCCATTTACCATCTTGAGAATAAAATATGGCTAATTTGCAGTTTTTGTTGCAATTTAGTGTAACTATAACAAATAATGAAGAAGTATAACTATACTATAAATAATGAAGGGAAAAAAGCTGTTTAATTTAATTCAAAAATGCTGGAAAGGAAGATCAAGTCGAGTGCAAGTCGAGTCTCCTTTATGATAATTTCCTCATTTTGGAAGTTGCATTGTATTAAACAATATGCTGAATCAATGAATGTAAATGCAAATGTGTGTATTTCATGCATTCAAAACATTCGTATATGCAAATGCACAGTATACACACTGCATAGCGCTTCCTTTCAGAAATGCTTTGTACAAACATACCATCTTTTTAACCCCCCTTTTTCTCTCTTTCCCGTCAGTGGCTCTCCTTCCTGATAATCTGTCTCCTTCAAATCCCCCATTCCTCTATCCTGCTTCTATTCACTCTGCTCTTCATTAGCCTGTCTCTCCATCCATCCTGCTCCCCTCCACCTCCTCCCACCACATGCATTTTTGCAGCGTGTGCATGTGCGTGTTTCTGCGTGTGATTACTCTTGTGGTGGACATGTCTGTGAATGGGGAGTGCCTATAAGTGGTTCGATGTCATTGATCGGCACCTGGTTGAGTAGAGTGGATCAGATACCCCGTACAGGCCCCCTGTGTGACTTACGGCCTTCCCCGTGACCCCCCTCGCTGGGGCGTGAATCATGTTCTCCTGCCTGTCCGCATCCATCCATCGGCTCAGAGCCAAGGCTAATGGAGCTAATATCCTGCCACACCAGGATGGACTACGGGACGCAGGGAAATATGTGCAGTCTTTAAAAGCCTCTCTCTGGATCTATTTAAAGCGGAGAGCAGATGCACTGCCAGTGCAGCACCTGATCAACATTATTGTCTTTCAGTCATGATTGGATAAACTCACCATCACCCCCCTGTGGAGGAAGACATATGCTGTTATGGTCCACAAACACACATCACACACTGCAGAAAACATTGGACTGTCCAAAAAATCGATTAGAAAACAAAGGTGCATGTTGATTTTTGCCAATTTACATGTTAATATATTTTCATGTCTTGTCTGCATGTCATCTATATCTGTCTATCTGTCTGTCTGTCTAACAAAACATTTTATTTATATATTTTTTTTATTGTAGTATGAATTTCAAATAATTTTAATTCTTTATCTATTCAAATTCACATTGCAGTTCTGCATCCCTTTTGCTTCCTCAATTAAATCCAACTGAAATTGGATTGAACTGGAATTTTAAAACATTTTTAATTCAATTCTGAGTGGCACACAAGCCTGGCTGGAACAGGCAAGTGCCACTTACCTCTACTTGTCACGGTGTGCCTATTGTGAAGGAGCGAGGAGACGAAGGAGTATCACAGACTTTATTTAACACAGAGAAAAACACACACATAGGACACGGGGATCAATGTTCAATACTGGACGGGCAACAAAGGTCAGAAAACACTTTAAATACACTGAAACTAATGGAACACACTTGGGAAAAATGGAACAGAATGGGGAACACCTGGAACAAATGATAACACAATCAGGACAGGAACAGGAAGACCAAATAAAGAAATAAACATAACATGGAGCACGTGGTAGAAGGAAACACACACAGACACGAAACAGAGTCTGACACTACTGAAATGTACAAATCTCTTTCTCATTACATGCAAGATTAAATGAAAATAACATCCAATTTTCTGAAGACAGTCGGTTTCCTTCAGAAATACAGTGATATAAAAACACCCGCACTCAGTGTATGGGAAACACTGTAGTCTCATAATTGAAGTGTAAATTCTGCAGATTACATTATTGTCCAGTATTGTACTGTCAGCAATTTATTATAAAAACGTTTTCATAATTGTAACATACATATTTACATACATAATTATTCAGGTGCATGTGTAATAACTTGTGAAAACTTGAGGCTACAGCAGCACTTCCTCGCCCCTCCCCACCCCCCAACCATTCGAATTTACATAGGCGGGAATTATTTTAATGATATTCTAATGGGCCGCTTTGTGATATCACAAAACCCGGAAAACAAACGCTGTAGTCCAAACGAGCCATTCGTTGTAGTTCTTGTAAAGGGATTTTTTTTTTAAACGAAATATCTCCCTTTGGAGTGGACTTTGAGATAAGTTTGAAGATCTTTTTTATACCCAAACATACACACTACACACTGACTAAAATTCAAAAAGTGAAAAAGCATAATAGGACCCCTTTAATATCCTAATGATTTTGGCATAAAAGAAAAATCAATCTTTTTGACCCATACGATGTATTGTTGGCTATTGCTACAAATATACCCGTGCTACTTATGACTGGTTTTGTGGTCCAGGGTTACAAATAGTTAAGAGCAAGTTTGCAAGTGAACCATCATATTCACTTATTCCAAATTGGTCTGGAATCGCATTTACATGGTGTTTCATCTGAACCAAATTAAACATGCTGACCTCTGCTTTCTCTTCTTGCTCTGCACATGTTTAAAAGAGAGGAAAATTGTTTTGCCATTAATGACTTTTCAATCTGTTCTGTTTTGGAGTGGACAGGGTAGTTTAGAGAGGAGAAATTGCTGTGATTTTGGAGGTCTATTATTAGCCGCATTTTGCTGAGCCAAAGATCACAGACATAAGCGTGGTAATATATCTTTCCTCACAGGCCAATCCATTAGAGGAGTTCTCTCTCAAATACAAAAAGTCATAATGAGCTGCATTGCAGAAAGAGAGGCGCGAAGCCATGCCACAGAGCCAGTGGCGACTATTAGCTGTTAATGAACAGTCAGTGGCTTCCAGCTGAGAGTGTGTGTGTGTGTGTGTGTGTTTAAGTGTGAAGTGTGCTGTGATGCTGTCAGAACTCCCATGTTGACAAGTGTGAATAAAAAAAAGTTATATACAGTCTTCAGTTACAGTCTTAAACTTACAGTCTTCTTAAACGTTTACCCCTTATCTTGATTATTTGGTTATATCAGTTCACGTATTCCCTGGTAATCAAAGCCATGACCTTGGCACAGATAGCGTCATGCTGTGTTATTTTACACTTTGAATAAAACTTACTTAAAGGGGTAGTTCACCCAAAAATGAAAATTCTGTCATTAATTACCCACCCTCATGTCGTTCCAAATCCGTAAAACCTTCGTTCATCTTCGGAACACAAATTAAGATAATTTTGATGAAATCCAAGAGTTGTGTTGCTGTCTATGGGAGGGTCAGAAAGCTCTCGGATTTTATCAAAAATATCTTACTGTATGTTCCGAAGATGAACAAAGGTCTTATGGGTTTGAAACGAGATGAGTGAGTAATTAATGACAGAATTTACATTTTTGGGTGAACTATCGCTTTAAAGTATGGAAGAAAAAAAAGAATGAAAAAAAAAATCATAATTATGAGATTAGTAAGTCAAAATTATGATATACTTAATCATAATTATGGGATAAAATGTTGAAATTATAACATGCTTTGTGAATTATGAGATGAAAACACTAAATTATGACATGTCAACTATGAGTTAAAAATACGAAATTGACAAAGTAAAAATTATGACAAAAAGTCACAATTATGAGACAGTCAACATTATGACATAAAAAGTTATAATTATGACATAAAAAGTTAAAATAATGAAAGAGTTTTTCCCTAAAAAGTCATTTATGACAAAATGTGAATGACTTTTTATCTCAGAATTTTGACTTAATGTCATAATTTTGACTTTTTTATCTCATATTTATTACTTTTTATGCAATTACATTTTTGGACTATCCCTTATTCTATAACTTTTTTAATGTTCAGAGTGTGAAGAGGGCCGCTGGGGGCTGGGATGTGCAGAGCTATGCCCTTCCTGTGATAATGGTGGATTGTGTGATCAGCAAAACGGCACCTGTATTTGTCCACCGGGATACATGGGAAATCTCTGTCAGAATGGTAAGATTTCATATTTAATTTTCATAATCTTAATGCATCATCAGACCTCTGTTCAGTACCAGACGTCTGACATGGTTTTGTGTCACACATTGTAAGAGAAAATATCTGTTGCATATTTCTGGTTTTCAATGTCCGCTTTCCTCAGCTTTTACCTTATCTGTTGATTACTTTGACATGGTGGTGAATCTTGTTTTATTTCAATCAGTCTGCCCATTTGGACACTTTGGCCTCAGCTGCCAGTTGCGCTGCACCTGTGAAAACAGCGGGCATTGCCACCATGTGACAGGTTTCTGTGTTTGTAAAGACGGCTGGACAGGACCCAACTGTGCGAAAGGTAAGGACACACTTAAAAGTCACACTTCATTCAGATTTAGTTTGTCTAGAACCTAGAAGCGAAAGAAAGCGCACTAGATATGAGGCAGCCATTCAGTGATCATTGAGACTGTATGGATGTCAGACAGCCTCTTTGACATCTATCACTATTACACATTGCTTTAGGATCAGCTTTTACAAGATTTGTTTCTCCTCAGCCATGCAACATAAGACTGAGCTGTCCTACAGGACCTGCTGACCTTTGCTGGTCATACTGTGGCAACTACCCAGTCTTACCTCTTCATGCCCCATAAAATAATAAAAAACCCAGACCTTCATGCATTGCCACTACACACACTTTTGTACTTTTGTACCTCACCCGTTGCTGGTCAGCATGCATCTGTTATGTATATCTATGTATATTTATAATGCAGCACCTTGAGTTCACCCAAAATGAAGCTCCATGTAATGCCTTTGCCCTGTTCTCTGCATTGGGTTACTTATTTAAGAGCTCATTACCTACAATTCAGCCTGTAACTTAATAGACGTTACATCACATCCAGTCAAACAGTTAAATAGCTCAAGTAGAATCACTGCCCCATCAATGTAAAAATAATTTTAATTTTTTATTCATGTTAATCAGTCTCCAGTAAATAAATACACATTTGAGAAACAAAATTGCAAAATGTGAGTTAACAATTCTCTCTCTCTCTCTCTCTCTCTCTATATATATATATATATATATATATAAATTGTTATAATTATTATATAAATATATTTCTTATTTCAGTGGCAATTGTTCAATTCAATTCAATTGTTTTTGGCATGTGTTTTGTATTTAAATAATAATAGTAATAATAATAATAATAACAATAATAATAATAATAATAGTAATAATAATAATTAATTAATAGTAATAAATATTTTTATTTTATTTTTTATCTAAAAATTGAAATTAAAACAAGTGTTTTAAATAAGATCTAATTGCATAAATTATTCTCTGCATTTAATAAATGTAATCAGCATTTTCGTCATTTTTGTAAATAAATACACTTGAGAAGCAAAATCGCAAAGTATAATTCAATATTTATTTCAAATAATACACACACACACACGCACACACACACACACACACACACACACACACACACACACACATATATAATATCCATTGACATGTTTTTTTATTTATATTATAAATATATCAGTATATTTCTTACTCTACTGACATTGATTTTTATCTTGTTTTGAATTTTTAGTAAAAAAATTTATTTTATGTTTTATACCTTTTGAATCTAAAACTCTTAATCATTTAATGAAGTTGTAATTTTAAATATTCGTTAATGCTAGTTATTAATGACTTGTAAAAAGAAGTGAAAAGTCAGCTCATGACTTTGCCTTATTTATTTCTGAGTGCCTATCTCACCATACACTCCAGCCAAACCATTGCAATCACCTGCATCAGGTTTCTGCACATAAATGATCCTTGCCCTCAGTGGATCCACTACGTACATGCCGTTTGTTGCAAAAACATCTGCCAGGAAAACCGAAAATAACACAGTTAACTGCTTTAATAAATCTGGTCCTTTTACTTCACTCATAACGTGATCTCAGTGGTAAAGTGGGAATTAATCATTTGATGTAATGGGCATGTATATTCTGTGGCAGCTTGTGAGGCGGGACGCTGGGGGCCGAACTGCGCCAACCAGTGTGACTGCAGGAGCAGCGTGGGCAGCTGTGACCCTGTGACTGGGCAGTGCCACTGTGAAGCAGGCTACACGGGACCACGCTGTGATCAAAGTATGAGCAACCATTGGCATTTCCAGGGAACACAAATCTAGCATTGTCTGATGTTTTCATTGCGTTCTCTAGAATGTCCAGAGGGTTTCTTTGGCCAGGGCTGCCGTCACAGATGCCACTGTGAGAATGAAGCAGCGTGCGAGCATGTGAGCGGTGCCTGTACTTGTTTACCAGGCTGGACTGGAACGTACTGTGAAAAATGTAGGAGAGGAGAAGGGGTGTAGTTGGTGGTGTGGCATAATATCACTAAAACTAGTCCAGTTAACGTATTTAAGTGTATATATGTATTTTCAACAGCCTGTCCTGAGGGTTTTCATGGTTTCGAATGCCAGCAGAAGTGCCAGTGCTTGAATGGTGGTCGTTGTCACCCCGTGACTGGAGACTGTCAGTGTCCATCTGGTTGGGTCGGGCCTCTTTGCAACACCAGTGAGTCATTTTACTGCGGTCAACATCCCATAACAATAAATAGTAACAAGAAGCATGTTCAAAGCATTCCCTCTGTCTTTCGTGTAAGGTAAAAGTAAAGCAATAAAACAGATGCTCTGAGTTTGTGTGTCCATGTATCGGCACACTTTGCATGAGAAGTAACGAATGCAGGCACAGCCTCGTCCTGATGTGTGTCTGCAGGCTACAGCTCTGCCTTTGATGTGGAAACCTGGTGGCATTGTATCTCAGAATGTGTTGTAGTTCCTTGTGTATAGAGTTTCATATTTGTCTGTATCTATATCTGTCTTGTCGTAGCATGTGAAGCTGGCACCTATGGCCCTGGCTGCAGTCAAACCTGTAACTGCCACAATAATGCCACATGTGACCCTGCTGAAGGAAAATGTGAGTGTGGAGCAGGATGGACGGGGAGCAGCTGTGAACAAGGTAGTGTTTTTAACTGTCCTCACGCAATCCTCAGAGATGTTTATACATTATGTAAATGTAAATGTAATGTTTATACTTTCTTTAATCAAAAACATGCAGAGATTTTTCTTATTACATTTATCCAGGGATATCTGATTAACATGTTACTTTAGTAGAGATGTGTATATATATAATATATGTAACCCTGGACCACAAAACCAGTCGTAAGTCACACGGGTATATTTGTAGCAATAGCCAACAATACATTGTATGGGTCAAAATTATCGATTTTTATTTTTTTTTCAAAAATCATTAGGATATTAAGTAAAGATCATGTTCCATGAAGATATTTTGTAAATTTCCTTCCATAAATATATCAAAACTAAATTTTTGATTAGTAATATGCATTGCTAAGGACTTCATTTGGACAACTTTAAAGGCGGTTTTTTCAATTGTTGGATTTTTTTGCACCCTCAGATTCCAGATTTTCAAATACTTGTATCTCGGCCAAATATTGTCCTATCCTAACAAACCATACATCAATGGACAGCTTATTTATTCAGCTTTCATGTGATGTATAAATCTCAATGTCAAAAAATTGACCCTTATGACTGGTTTTATGGTCCAGGGTCTCACACACACACACACACACACACACAATTACAATTACTTTAGGCATTACATTATGAAATTATTTAAATTAAATCTAATCAGTTGACACCTCAAGAATCATGTTCAACTGAAAGTTCACATGAAAGAGAAGATCTTTGTCTTTAATGTATGCATTTTTTTCCCAGAGTGCCCATCTGGTTTCTATGGTGTGGGCTGCCACCTGCACTGCTTGTGCCAGAACGGAGGGTCATGTGACCGAATCAGCGGGCACTGCACATGTCTAAGTGGATGGACTGGAGTGGCATGTGAACTGGGCAAGACATAAACCAGACATTTCTGATACACAACAGCATTTCTAAAAATTAATATAACAGTGAAAATATATAGCAACTTTTAGATGGCAAATTGACAGTTTTGTTTTTCAAACATCCTGTGTATGTGTTTTTTGTTCAGAATGTGCTCTGGGAGACTTTGGCATGGACTGTCAACACAAGTGTGAGTGTGAGAATGGCGGCGTGTGTGATCGACAGAATGGCAGGTGCTCCTGTCCCGCAGGCTGGATGGGCTCAAGCTGTGAGATGGGTAAAATACACCATAGTGCCTCAGAAGTCATCATAATGTCTGCTTTAAAAACTGACCATGATATGTATTTTTGCATGACATAACATATATTTATTCCCATTCTGTGTGTTTTGATCAGCGTGTACTCCATGGATCGGCTCACTTTGCAGTAACGAATGCTGGCACAGCCTCATCCTGATGTCTGCCTTTGATGTGGAAACCTGGTAGCAATGTATTTCAGAATGTGTTGTAGTTTCTTGTGTATAGAGTTTCATATTTGTCTGTATCTATATCTGTCTTGTCGTAGCATGTGAAGCTGGCACCTATGGCCCTGGCTGCAGTCAAACCTGTAACTGCCACAATAATGCCACATGTGACCCTGCTGAAGGAAAATGTGAGTGTGGAGCAGGATGGACGGGGAGCAGCTGTGAACAAGGTAGTGTTTTTAACTGTCCTCACGCAATCCTCAGAGATGTTTATACATTATGTAAATGTAAATGTAATGTTTATACTTTCTTTAATCAAAAACATGCAGAGATTTTTCTTATTACATTTATCCAGGGATATCTGATTAACATGTTACTTTAGTAGAGATGTGTATATATATAATATATGTAACCCTGGACCACAAAACCAGTCGTAAGTCACACGGGTATATTTGTAGCAATAGCCAACAATACATTGTATGGGTCAAAATTATCGATTTTTATTTTTTTTTCAAAAATCATTAGGATATTAAGTAAAGATCATGTTCCATGAAGATATTTTGTAAATTTCCTTCCATAAATATATCAAAACTAAATTTTTGATTAGTAATATGCATTGCTAAGGACTTCATTTGGACAACTTTAAAGGCGGTTTTTTCAATTGTTGGATTTTTTTGCACCCTCAGATTCCAGATTTTCAAATACTTGTATCTCGGCCAAATATTGTCCTATCCTAACAAACCATACATCAATGGACAGCTTATTTATTCAGCTTTCATGTGATGTATAAATCTCAATGTCAAAAAATTGACCCTTATGACTGGTTTTATGGTCCAGGGTCTCACACACACACACACACACACACAATTACAATTACTTTAGGCATTACATTATGAAATTATTTAAATTAAATCTAATCAGTTGACACCTCAAGAATCATGTTCAACTGAAAGTTCACATGAAAGAGAAGATCTTTGTCTTTAATGTATGCATTTTTTTCCCAGAGTGCCCATCTGGTTTCTATGGTGTGGGCTGCCACCTGCACTGCTTGTGCCAGAACGGAGGGTCATGTGACCGAATCAGCGGGCACTGCACATGTCTAAGTGGATGGACTGGAGTGGCATGTGAACTGGGCAAGACATAAACCAGACATTTCTGATACACAACAGCATTTCTAAAAATTAATATAACAGTGAAAATATATAGCAACTTTTAGATGGCAAATTGACAGTTTTGTTTTTCAAACATCCTGTGTATGTGTTTTTTGTTCAGAATGTGCTCTGGGAGACTTTGGCATGGACTGTCAACACAAGTGTGAGTGTGAGAATGGCGGCGTGTGTGATCGACAGAATGGCAGGTGCTCCTGTCCCGCAGGCTGGATGGGCTCAAGCTGTGAGATGGGTAAAATACACCATAGTGCCTCAGAAGTCATCATAATGTCTGCTTTAAAAACTGACCATGATATGTATTTTTGCATGACATAACATATATTTATTCCCATTCTGTGTGTTTTGATCAGCGTGTACTCAAGGTTCATATGGTCCAGGCTGTAAGCAGCAGTGCAGGTGCGATCATGAGGCCCCATGTCACCACATCACTGGCACTTGCATCTGTCCTGCAGGCTGGAGAGGGTTGCACTGCGAGAAAAGTAATTTACCCAATGTCTATCTTGTTTGCCCCCTGCTGGTAGATCCAGAGTACTGTAACTCATTTGTGCTCTTTCAGTTTGTTTACCTGGTTCATATGGGAAGCGATGCGCTCAGGGATGCCACTGTCCTCGTGGCACTTCCTGTAACCATGTGACCGGGGAGTGTGGCTGCCCACCTGGATTTACTGGTAACGGCTGCGAGCGAAGTGAGTGATTATATCCTGATCTCATTACACTCTTGGTGAAATGTGTTTGACAGCACATCAGTTGTTAAACACTAATCCTGCAGCCCTGGATCTCAAAGGTTGTTGTGTTCCTCTGCTCTGCAGTGTGTCAGTCAGGTACGTTCGGACTGAACTGTAATCAGGTGTGCCAGTGCTCCGAGGTTAATCAGCTCTGTCACCCCGTCACTGGTGTCTGCTACTGTGCTCCAGGATATCAAGGCAGCAAGTGTGATACAGGTGTGGCCTTCATGATCTCACCTTCTTTCGTCTTAAAAAGTCACATACATTCGAGATGAACAGAAAAGATTTGACAATTTTGGCTGTATGGAAAAAAATATAGTAGTTCATTGACAAACACACTAGACAGGTCAAATATGCTCTTATTTATTTGTATACCAGCACTGTTATGTCACAGGTGTTGATTTTTATTCAAACTAATGGTAACACTTTACAATAAGGTTCCATTTGTTAACATTAGTTAACTACATTCAATTAATTTTAAAGCATTTATTAATCTTAGTTAATTTCAACATTTACTAATACATAATTAAAATCCTAAGTTGTATCTGTTAATATTATTTAATAAACTAACACTGTGAACATTTGTATTTTTCTTAACTAACGTAAACAAAAATAAATAAATAAATACTAAAATATATTGCTGATTGTTAATGTTAGTAATTAACCAATGTTAACTAGTGGTACCTTACTGTAATGTGTTACCAAACTAACAGATTTAAACTTTATTCTTTTACTTTTATGTCATATTAAAAACCTTTTTATATGCATGCTTTTATTTTTTATTCGCAGTTTACCTTTCAGATGTCTTAAATATATAGATTTTGTTTTAGCTTTGTTCCATATCTTAAAATTAAAAATTAATAAATTATATTTTTATACAATTATGAACATCTAAAAAAAGGATCAATATTTACTATGTGAAAAGTATTATTATTAAATGTTTTATATTTGTATTTATATATTTGTAAAAAAAATGAAAAATACAAATAAATTTGCACCATTTACTGCCATAACAAGTGACACTTTATAAACTTTTATCATAAGTTTATAAAACCTATTTACCAAGTAGACAACATGGTTGGAATGTGCTTGAGATTAAATAAGAGATGCGAAGAGATGTAAGATGTAAAAAAATCGAGATATTTGCGTGTCTCGATATTTTTATTTTGTGTAATTTCCAATCAATCTGTAATTGTCAAATAATGCAAAAAGTGTGAAAATTTTATTTAATTATATGTATTTAGGATATAAAAGCTATGAAATTAGCCTTAGCAAGACAAAGGACACAGTTGTTTTATTGCAAAAAATGTAGTAATTTGCATTAGTGGTCAAAATGCCCATTGTTGAAAAATCCACATTAAAATTCTGAGAAGTTTTAAAGGTGTAAATCCTCATTACTACTGTATGCTGCATGAAGGATGTCGTACCCATGAAACCTTGTTGTTTTAGCGTGTGCGGCAGGCCATTATGGTCCCAACTGCGAGCAGGAGTGCCAGTGTCTGAATAACGGAGTGTGCAAGACCAGCACTGGCACCTGCACCTGCCCCCCGGGATACATTGGACCGAACTGCAATATCAGTCAGTCACACTTTTACAATTTTTAATCATTGTTCTTTAACAAATATTGTCTCATTTCCAGATTTTTTTTTTTTTTTAAAAGGTTAGTGTAATCACTAACAGACTGCTCTCTCTCTAAAGCCTGTCCATCAGGGCGTTACGGGCAAGACTGTGCACGAGTGGCTTTGTGTGGTGAAGGGGCCAAGAATGATCCGGTCACAGGCAGATGCGTGTGCAAAGCGGGCCAGCGAGGGGAAGACTGTGGCAAAGGTCTGACTGTATTCCTGTTAAAAGGGACGGTGAAGGGATTGAGTCATATTTAGCTGAGTTTGTATGAAATAAGCTGATGTAATTGTGTCTCAGGTTGTCCTAAGGGCTGGTTTGGGGAGGACTGTGCTCAGCGCTGTAACTGCAGTAATGGAGGACTGTGTGACGCGGTTACAGGAAACTGCACCTGTGGGCTGGGCTGGACAGGAAACTGCTGTGATAGAGGTCAGCTGATTGTGCACAGTTCACCCGAACATAGAAATTCTGCAAAATATGCAGCTTTTATCAATACAATAAAAACACAGTGTGACTAAGGATGCACTGATATAAAAAATTCAAGCCAATATTGATAAGCCAAAAATAAATTTTGGACAAAATGATTATTGTCTTTTTTTTTTTTTTTTTTAAAGGGGAGTGTAATTACTAACAGACTAGTTTCTCTTTAAAGCCTGTCCATCAGGGCGTTATGGGCAGGACTGTGCACGAGTGGCTTTGTGTGGTGAAGGGGCCCGGAGCGATCCGGTCACAGGCAGATGCGTGTGCAAAGCGGGCCAGCGAGGGGAAGACTGTGGCAAAGGTCTGACTGTATTCCTGTTAAAAGGGACGGTGAAGGGATTGAGTCATATTTAGCTGAGTTTGTATGAAATAAGCTGATGTAATTGTGTCTCAGGTTGTCCTAAGGGCTGGTTTGGGGAGGACTGTGCTCAGCGCTGTAACTGCAGTAATGGAGGACTGTGTGACGCGGTCACAGGAAACTGCACCTGTGGACTGGGCTGGACAGGAGACAGCTGTGATAGAGGTCAGCTGATTGTGCTCAGTTCACACCAACATAGAAATTCTGCTGACGAAGCTTTCAATACAATGAAAACACAGTGACACGGATATAAAAATTTAAGCTAAAACTGATAAGCCAATAATTATTTTCAGCTGAAATTTAAAATTCTAAAATAAATTATTTTTTAATAATATTATTTATATACACTCTAAAAAATGCTGGGTTAAATATAACTATAACCCAGCGCTGGGTTTAAAAAGGGACAAACCCAGCGGTTGGGTTTGACCCTTTTTTATAATGAACCCAGCATTTTTAACCCAGAGTGTATGTTTATTAAAGGTGACATATCATGAAAATCTGACATGCTGTGACAGCCGCTTTCTGTCCGTGTGCTTCGGATGTGTGCGCTCAGAAAACCGTATATCAGAAGTTTAAACTCATATGGTTTTCAGAGCAATAAACATGATAATCAGAACCAAAACAGAAGTTTTTTTAGCAGATACGAGCTGTAATGGCACAGTTCTATTCTGGAAAAGGGAGCGGGGAGCAGCAGCTCATTTGCATTTATAGACACATGCTCTAATACAGCATGTTTCTGCTTCCACTCAAAATAGGCATTTTCAAAGTGATATAATTATCTGTAGGGTATTTTGAGCTGAAACTTCACAGTTACATTCTGGGGACCCCCGAGACTTATATTACATATTGTAAAAAGGGGCATAATATGTCACCTTTAAAATAAACTGTTAATGTGCTATAATAAATATATGAAATTATAATAGAATATATAATAGAATTTTATTCTATTAAATACAATTTTGTCTAAATAAAATAAGATTAAAATAAAATTATAGAATTATAAAATAAATAAAAAGTAAAAAATGTTAAATAAATTCTAAAATAAATGAAATATATTGTTTATATTATTTGTTTATTAAAATCAATTGTTAATGTGCTATAATATGTGAAATTATAATAGAATATATAATATAATTTTATTCTATTAAATACAATTTTGTCTAAATAAAATAAATTAAAATAAATAAAATTATAGAATTATAAAATACATTAAAAATAAAAAGTGGGTAATTTAAAATAAATTCTATAATAGTTTGGGCCTGACTGCTCGGAGAGATGTGAATGTCACAACGGAGGTCAGTGCAATCCACGCAATGGACGCTGCACCTGTCTCAACGGTTGGGTCGGACCGAGCTGTCGAGAGGGTAATTTCACTGTTAGTAACTCAAAATAACCTTCACAAGCTCAAATAATAATCATTTTCTTTATAAAAAAGTGGGAAATTTAAAATAAATTCTATAATAAATGAAATATATATTTTATATTATTTATGTTTTTTAAATAGTTAATGTGTTATAATATATGAAATTATAATAGAATATATATAATAGAATTTAATTTTATTAAATACAATTTTGCCTACATAAAATAAATTAAATTATATAATTATAAAATAAACAAATTAAAAATACAAAGTAAATAATACATTTAGGAATTTAACATTCTAATGTATAGTAGGAAAAATGGCTTATAGGTTATTAAATTCTGTTTAAACATGTTGTTGTGTTGATCAGAGTGTCCCAGAGGCCAATATGGGGTTAACTGCAGGGAAATATGTTATTGTAAAAATAACGGCACCTGTGACAGAGTGACGGGCGAGTGTCACTGTCCTCCTGGGTACTACGGACATCTCTGTGAACATGGTGAGAAAACACAGCACCTATTTCATCTAATTTTGCATCCTGACCAATTTAGCCAGTTATGTAATGATTCAGTTTTATTTTTTATTTTTTCAAAAGCATGCCCTGTTGGTTTCCATGGACATCGCTGCCAGCTTTTGTGTGACTGCCATGCCAATGCACCTTGTGACCCTGGAACCGGCCGCTGTCTCTGTCCTCCAGGATATCAAGGACTTCGCTGTGATAGAGGTGCAGAGGAGCTCTTGTATGATGTGGATGATAAATTATATATGATTAATACATGTGAATGTCACAACGGAGGTCAGTGCAATCCACGCAATGGACGCTGCACCTGTCTCAACGGTTGGGTTGGACCGAGCTGTCGAGAGGGGAATTTCACTGTTAGTAACTCAAAATAACCTTCACAAGCTCAAATAATAATCATTTTCTTTATAACAGGGCTCACGTCTAGTCAGAATACTAGCAGAAGCAAAAGGAAGGACTCATCAGTATAGCAATCCCACCCAGTTCAGTAACAGACACACTGTAAACTGAACTGGCTTGAATTTGTGAGTGGACTTGTGGCTAAAATTAAAGCCTTGTAACAGGTTTTTTTTTTTTTAGATCTTTGAACACAAAGTTTCACCAAACTGTCAGATGACTCTGACTGGGACAAACTCTTATGTCAGTTAAGATCGAGTCAATAAATGATATACTTTCTCAAGGAAAAGTGGACAACATGAAGTCCAACATGAAGGAGAAGACTATTCATATTGAAGTTCCTCCTGAATGAGGACAAATTCAAAGGAGTTTTTTCAGCATCAGTTCTGCTCAGGGAGAATGAACTTCCTGATGACTTCAGTTCATCTCTAATCAAGAAAAGCACCAAATCAAGGCCTTGGCTTCACCTGGAAGTGAAGTGAATCCCAGTGCCACTGTGATCTTAAACAAGGGCCTTAAAGGGACAGTGCACCCAAAAATCTAACTTCTGTTGTCATTTATGTAACTTCATATTCTATGCTTTGGTATCCATTTAACCCCAGGTTTTGTCTTGAGTGAGAATTTTTGGAATACTTTTATTAATGGTATCTTACATCATTCATAATGAATATTTTAAGTAATAATTTCTTTAAGATTTTAGGTAGAATGTTGCACAAAATTGAGCAGATTTATTACTACGTGTATAATATTTGGATGTTGACATATTGTCCGTATTTCAAAATATTTCAAGTAATCCAAAAATATGAAACTGGAGTCGTTTTTTTTTTTTTTTTACCTCTGTACATACTGTATGAATGTAAGTTTTCATGCGTGAATTCTTGTGTACAATTTTATTTTAAAGAAAACTGTACTGTAAACCTTATAATCACTATGATTCCTGTTATGCTGAACCAGTGTTTTGTCATTTTAGGGTTTTTGCTACAGATTTATTTTTGTACAGTACCATCTCTACATAACTATAGATTTTTTAAAGTGTGATTTGCATTCTCAATTAACTCAAAGAAAATGTATATTTCAATATTTCTGCAGCTAAGCCAGGGCCAAAGATAGCACTTAAAACCTTGTTTTCTCAGCAACCATGGCAAACCTGGTTGATGGTTTTTCTTTGTTTTGTAATGGTTGATTTTCTGGAAGCTTACAAATGTTTTATTCATGGTTAAATGTCTCCAAGGGGTGTAGAAATAGGCATTGAATTTTTAAAAGAATGTTTTTGATTACTGCAGTTAAATAATTGAGATAGTTCATATGCTGTTCTGCGTGCACTCTTAAGGTGTTTAATGGGCAGAAATAATCACAAGAATATTGACATTACTTTGCAATTTGCACGATTGATTGAACTAGAATTCTTGAGACTTACCAAAAAAGGGGGGGAAAACATTGAATTGGTACTTTTTTCAGTTTTCCAGAACAAAATACTCTGTTTTAATAAAAAAAAAATTCTTGGCACCCAGTAATGTTCTGAACTAATTTACATTTTTAAGAGCAAAAAAAAAAAAAAATATATATAAATCATGCATATTACATATTTCCACATTTGTTGCACACTTAACCAATAAATAAATGTATTCCCTTTATGGTCTTTAGACATATAAAACACAAAGACTAAATTAAAGAATTTTAGAATAATTTATTTTCAGTTGTTTGAAGCTGTACATATTTTTTTCTTCAAGCACAATGTCATAAGCAATAATTGCCAATAAAAAAAATAAATGAAGGCAAATGTGATAATGGTCATTAAGACCGGTATAGTATATGTATATATTTAGATTATATACATGTTATCAAACCATTCCATTATGTATCTACAGAAATCACCATAACTTAATACATATCTGTAACGGTAATGGTCATATTACAGTTAACAAATGTCATCATTTTAGGTCATACAAAAACAGTCTATTCTTATCAATCAAATCAGCTTCAAAACATCAGATTTCCTGTACATACAGTTAAAGGCACAATATGTAAGATTTTTTTATTAAAATATCCAAAAACCACTAGAACAGTGTTATATATTTTGCTGACTTGTGTACTTACATTATCCCAAATGTTTCGAAGAATGTTTAAATCCAGAGAAAAAAGCAATTTTAACTAGTGACACGGAGCGTGTCTATAGTGTCATTGTGTCGCCTGCTAATGACGTCATAACCCCTCGATTTCCGGTTTTGTTTTGTAGAAAACATGGAAACACCACAGACGCTTTAATATGTTGTGTGTTTTATTAGACAGGTGACGACCGCACAGAGTAGCATTATAACAGAACTTTCAAATGTATCTAGTATGATAAAACAGCGCTGCTTTTTTTTACCACATACGCACGACCGGAAGGAGCGGAAGCGGTCGACTGTGGCATAATAAAAGCTCTGCTGCTTTCGAGCCGTGTGTCACGCTCGTTCAGCAGCCTCGTTTCCCTTCGGCGGCTTTCAGCCTCACCCTGCTTCATTCTACTACGTTAATAAATCATTAGCTCATCCATGAACATGATTTCTGCCCGAGTCCCGTCGGATTGCATCGGCTGCGGGGATGAAGACGACAACTCCCATGATTCCACACTCAGTCACTGCCTCATCAAACTACGCCTTTGCCTCTTTGCTTATTTTGAATACGCGCCCTCTAGCGGCGAAAATTACATATTGTGCCTTTAATCCTGTTGACAATATTGGACTAATTTTACAGCAAAGTACTCAACGGGCTCATTCGACAACAACCTTTATCCTTGCAGGAAAAAAAACTACACCAACAAGTTCTCGTTCAATGATATTTATCCTCCACATGACTAAACTGTTAAACCTGGCTCAATTTTACCATCTAATTACTGTCAACATGTTATGGCTTCCTGAGCGAAAGCAAACCACTAATATCTTATATGACAGATGCAGCCTGACTCAACATACTAATGACAAACATAAGGAAATTTACAATGACCCTCAGCTAAAAGCAACGCCTTCCACTTCTATCAAAACCTATGGACTTTGGTCAAAATGCTACTTCAAAAAGCCTTACAGATATTATTAATAATCTCTCCGCTTTTTTTTCTCGTTTAGCAGTATGCATTTCCTCTCCCAAGACTCGATGTAGCTCAGACGACAATCAAAACACTTATAAACTGCATTACATTCCAACAACAGGTCAACACTTTCATACCCAGCCTAGCATAAGCATTGATCTACACTAAAATAATAGGCCATTATTAAAACTCATTACTATGTACATGCAGCCAACTGTATTGCGACTTCTTAAAGATTAAATTCAGTAAAAGGTCCATTCATATTGGAGTGTCAGAATATTTTGAACTGCCTTGATATGTTATGAATTTATTTTGGCATTAATTTAAAGTGAATAATTATGATAACATAAATCACTCCATAAAGCCTCTGTTACCCCTACCAGCTTATGCTTACCATTCACCACTGATGGGTTTAAAATGCCATAAAGCATATAAAAACTATTCTTCTGGTACAGATGAAACATGCTAAACAAGTGGCTGCCAGCACTGAATATTTTGCATTAATACTAAATAAGGCAATCTAGTAATTCTCATACAGCAAATTAACACTGTCCTAATAATTGGCTTTTTAGTTCGGGAAGGTCTAAAATATCATTTACAAGTTTTGTAGACACATCTGGAATAATGTTTCATGGAAAACACATGCGAAATAACTTACACTAAGTAGAAAAGATCCACTGCCTTGCAAATATTATTAACTATCATTAATCAAAAGCAATAGTTAATTTTTAAAACCTTTTTCGAACGAGTAGGCTAACGTGTAGTGATGTATTTCCAGCCAGTAGAGGGCGTTATTCGACAAAAATAAAAATAAATAAATAAACTTAAGACGCTATACAGGAGGACAACAAACATTAAACATGACAAGGTAAAAATGATAACTAACAACAAATAATAAAACCTTAAATTCGTAATGCCTTCAAAAAATCGTTTAGACTTGTCTTGTTTAAATACTGGCAGACTGAAAAATAAAATCCAGTGTGCTCAAAATTATTCTGGTAACTTAACATGCATTAAAATATATAAATAGTAACAGATTTCCACACACACCGAAAACGACTTAAAATACACAACATTAAGGCATAAAACACTGAGTACATATGACGAGTACCAAATAACATTTTAAACAATAATTCACGGCCTTGTACGCGTGGTTTGGATGGAGCTAAATTTCTTTGATTTCAGCTCGACGAAGCGATGACAAATGAGCACACAGACCACCACTCAACTACCGTCTGTTCTAGGTCATTTGCTTCTTAAAAGTAAAAAAGAGCAATGGGTTTACAAACACTTTCAAATATTGCACATTTGTTGAGGCCTGTATAATGTCTATATATTTCTGACGGTCTCACAACTCAAGCTTTATACAGTATTATGTGTAACTCTACAATAGCTTCTCCTTCTCTGTTTAAAACTAAAACACAGCCAGAAATGATATAGCTTGTATAAATGAGGTCTTGTAAATATATTGCAACTATATTGCTCTATAAAGCACTATATTGGCTAACAATTTAAATATGAAACTAGAGATGAGTAACATCCAATGCCTTATTTAGTTTATTCAGTCATGTAACTTTCTGCATTCACCAAAGTGCTTCATCAGCTTCATTACTTCCTGTGAGCGTATGCAAATTTATTTGTTTTCCAAAATGTAGGGGAAAAAAGCAGGTGCCATGGCCAGTGGATCTCATGCATTTCTAGACTAAGTACAAATTCTGGATCTCTAATACTGCACTACTTCAAAGGGGAGGAGGAAGCGAGCCGGTGCGCTTGATTTCAGTGGTTTCCTGGAGTGGCGTTCTGCTTATTGAGCCGGCCTAGCTGATTTGTACGTGAGCATGCTTCCCTTCTGCCCGTGCGGTTCTTGGCCTCCTATCAGGCTAATGTCGGCACACTCCATGTTGTGTGTGAGTTGGCGTCTCCTGTAGGACCTGTGACAGTGCTGGTCCCATGTGCCAATGTTTTTTTCAGTCAAAGCTCAGAGAAAGAAGCAGGTCGACACAGTGTCACTGGCTTTCCTTTTAAGACCGGTAGTCCTTTTTACTGTAGGGCTTGTTGCCTAGGATACTGTCCACTTCATGTGTAATTGATGATGATAATTTTGGAAGAACCTGGAAGAACGTTGGGTTGAAGTTTAATGCGTTTTTTAATGTTACAAATTTATTAATAACAAAATCTGTTGGCTAAAAACAAGCACCTAATATGTTTTTTTATGTTACCTTTTCCATTTTTGCTGTTTCATAATTGATTTATTTTTATTTAATGTTGGGAATGCAACATGCATCAACCATCAAAACGAGAAGTCTTTGAGGGCTCCTTGTGGTTTTCCGACAAAATAAAAGCTTGATAGTTTAACATTTAAAAATGTAGAAATTAAGACAACCATAAATATTAGTATATTCACTGTACTGTAAAATAAAATCACTATTATTACATTTTTTTAAATACTCCATTTTTTATTTTACAGTAATTCAATAGTACAACAGTAGTTCAATAGTAATATAATAAAATACATTATTTTACAGTTGTATTACAATAGTAATATTTAAGATTTAAAATCTTTTAATTATTTGCTCAAAATGTTTTATTTGTAACCGCAATTTGTATTAAAATACAACAACAACAACAACAATAATAATGATAATATAAAAAATAATAATAAAAGAGGTTAATGTGTGTGTGTAATGAGCTTTTTCTAGGGCAATAACTGTACAAGTGTTCAGTGGCTTTGAGGTATATTTATACTCTTAAATATTGATTGGCTTAAATATTTGCTTAAGCAATATAGCCCTGACATGCTCTGTAATGAAAAATAAATCAATTCACCAGAATTATTTTTGTAATTACATAATACATTACATATTCGCATTTATATTTCATTTATATTGTCTTCTATTTCAGAATTTCTGGTGTGAACTGTGAAATCTCATCAATAATTTTTAAAATTCTAAGCTCTAGCTTGTTTAGAAAAAATTATGTAATGCTCATTTTCACAGCTTGTTACGTCACGTTGTTGTGCGATTGCTGTTTTGTGAAAACCTCAGCATTTCATCAATTGTTTTTGTGTTAACAGAATGAAAAGCTTTGTTCATGTATGAATCCTGCTGCGAGTGGCTCACCTGAATGGCTCCGATGTTCTCCATCAGCTGCTCAGTGCTGGAGGCCCCCAACAGCACACAGCTCACCCCCTCATTCCTCAGACACCACGCTAGAGACACAGCAAAGCACAGACACTTCACATCTCTCTAAACAGTCAACAGAAAGAGTCTAGAACTGTAAATGTGAAAGCCACATTTACATTTGAAAGCTCAACCAGAAATCTGGCCTCAGGCAAAGAGCTAATTCTCTAGATATTAGATTTTCTAAGGAGATATGAAAGCAATTCAGGCCTGTGTGCTTTTTATATAACCAACAATGTCAGAACACCGAACAGCAAAAAGACAGAGGTAGGTGTACTTGACAGAGTGCTAACATGTGTGGGCATTAAACTTGAACTAAGCAGTTACTGCTGAAGCAAGTGCATTTTAAATCATAAAAATAAACTTGAGTTTTGTTCCATTACAACTGGCACACAGGAGAAGCTTATTTTAAGCTCTAACCAGCTATTAAACTCACTTGTCTTAAGCTTGGACAACTTATTTATTCAAGTTAAAGGGGTCATATCATGCTTCTTTAAAGATCATTATTTTGTGTATTTGGTGTAACAGAATATGTTGACATGCTTTAATGTTCAAAAAACACATTATTTTTCAAATACTGTACATTATTGTAGGTCCTCTATCCCCCGCCTCTCTCAAACGCTTCGTTTTCTACAAAGTCCCTCCTTCCGACAAGCACAGTCTGCTCTGACTGGCCAGCTGACCCAGTGCATTGTGATTGGCCGAACACCGCAAGCACTCGTCGGAAATGTAACGCCCCTTACCATAATCGCGAGCTTCATCTTTCAAAATAAATGTAAAGACAGAGCCCGAAAGGAAAACAGAGTCGCGCGACAGACACAGTGATGAAGCTGGTATATGTTTGTGATGTGACCCCCTCTCTCGCTCTCTCTCGCTCTCTCTCGCGCTCTCTCTCTCTCTCTCTCGCTCTCTCACACACACACACGCGCGCGCGCGTCAGAATTACCTCCTCTCCTAGGTTCACGAAACGGTCGTCCATAAAATGCATTGCTGTTCTGTTGTAAGTAATCTTAAAGATTCCTAAATGCATCTACTTTCGGAAGGCCAAATAAAGTGCTTTTGCTTTCGCACTGAAACACACAGCGTCTCCCTGACATGGCTGCTTCAACACTAACTGCGGTTACTGAAACCACGCCTTCTTTCTTTGCGTGCACATTTGGGCGGCATTATGCAAGTATTTCCACATAGTGAGGTAGATATGTGGGGGCGTGTTAGAACGAGCCGTTTTAGGGGGGCGTGGCAGAGTCTTAACTTTGATAAAGAATATCTCTTCGGTTTTGAGACTTTAGTCTTTGCAACTTCAGGGATCTTATCTATGCACAATCAGCTTGTAACACTCCAAAGAGAAAGGAAAACTTGAAATCGCATCATATGATCCCTTTAATGCATGTTCTTTGTCTATACAGTAAATCCACAACGTTTTTAATCTCTAAATATCCTTCTTCATTCAGACATAATTAACATTATAGAAGTAAACTGAGTTTAATGTTAACTTTGACGTTTTAAAAAACATTCACAGGTTGCAGAAAGCCACATCACATTAAAACCGTCCCACCACAAGAACAGACACACAATCAAGTACTAAACAATGTGTATCTGGTCTACAGTTAGCAGTCAGCACTAACCTACTGAACACCTGCTGTTACTCTGACCTTTACTGCTAAGGTTATATAAATGATTAGTGTGGATATAAGCAACAAAACCTGAAGCTACTAATCTAAAATGTTGCAATTATCTATGCTGTTTCCCCTTTAATGAATGATAGTCATCAGTTGATTGTTTTATTTGCTTAATGTGTTTACACAACTAGGACACATTCCTGGACTAACATCATTTGTTGTTCCTATAAAGCAAACACTGACCTCTGTGCTTCTGGGACAGGTTTAGCATTACACAATGGCAGACTTTTGAATTTTAGTCTGGTCCATATTACAACTTATTCTGGTCAAGAACAGCCCACTAAGCCAGGAAGAGACCACCTGAACAACAAGTAATAATGCAAAGAACCACGGGTAACCCTGCCTTACACATTGAAATACACAATCGAAAGGAAGGTAACAAAAGCCATCATTGGGGTGGCATCCTTTTAAAACGGACACTTTTGTACTTTATATACCCCTAGGGTGTGCATTAGTACTTTAAGCGTACATTTTAATATCTTAATGGTACATTTTAGCACTGTTTGGAAAAGGGCCACCCCAGTGACAGCTTTTGAACCTTTTTTTTTTTTTTTTTACATTTGTAAATAATACCACGGAAAATGTCAGTCAAATAGGTCTATGAATCGTTCTATGTCCTGGAATTTCATTTCATTCCAAAAGACAATGAATGGTTGCGCAAAATGTCCTATGAATGTATTTTAGAATGAAGGTCCTAAAGGTCCTAATAGTTTATATTCGCGATTTACGTTATATATTGATTGACAATAAATCAGAGATTATCAAACCAGGGCCTAAGGTGCGTTTGGAAAAGGGCCACCCCAGTGACAGCTTTTGAACCTTTTTTTTTTTTTTTTACATTTGTATACAAAAGACAAGAAATCAGCATTTAATTATACTCACTTTCCATCTAGAGAGGAATTCTTATGGATATCTAGTTTTCTTACTACTAAAGGCTGGAATACACTACATGACTTTTAAAACCTGAACAGATTTTAACACACTGGGCATCATACACTTGCTGTGCACATACAGAGTAAACTAAAGATCACACACTACCAGACTTTCATGTCATTGCAAACGCAACAAACTCAAACAGAAACATGAACCTCCTTGATAGAAGAAGCATGAGAAATATAAACAATGTGTTTTAAAACCTGCGGAAAATATCAAACATGTCCACCCTGTATAGATTCAAAGTCTGAAAGTCTGCACTATGCAAGTTTTTTTGTCAATACCAATTGCCCAAAATCTGCATACTGTCTCTGACTTTCACCAACTAGCACTGACTCCTCCAGAGACCAGACTGCAAATTGCGGCAAAAATCTGGGCAAAAGCTGTCCAATGCATTCCTGCCTTAAGTGCCTTAAAGGCATAGTTCACCTAAAAGTGAAAATTACCACATTATATACTAACCCTCAAGCCATTCTAGGTGTATATGACTTTCTACTTTCAGACAAATTCTATCGTAGCTGTATTAAAAACAAATCCTGGCTCTTCCAATCTTTATAATGGCAGTGAATGGGGGTTGAGATTTTAAAGCCTAAAAAAGTGCATCCATCAATCATAAAAAGTGTTCCACACGGCTCTGGGGGTTAATAAAGGCCTTCTGAAGTGAATCGATGTATTTGTGTAAGAAAAAACATAAATATTTAAAACTTAATCTCTAGTAAATGCCACTCTCTTGTGAATGTGCATACGACAGTTAGTGGAAGCTAGATATTATGGTTTATAAAGTTTTAAATATGGATATTTTTCTTACACAAACGCATCTCTTCGCTTCAGTAGGTCTTTATTAACCCCCTGGGGCCGTGTGGAGCACTTTTTTATGATGGATGGATGCACTTTATTGTGCTTCAAAATCTCGACCCCCATTCACTGCCATTATAAAGATTGGAAGAGCCAGGACATTTTTTAATATAACTCTGATTGTATTCGTCTGAAAGAAGAAAGTCATATACACGATTGTGTTCATTTGAATGAAGAAAGTCATATACACCTAGGATGGGTTGAGGGTGAGTAAATCATGGGATAATTTAAATTTTTGGTTGAACTATCCCTTTAAGCTAAACATTTAAAGCACTTACGACGTTTAAAGACTTGAAGCATGGACCAGGTAAAATTAATTTACCAGCATTACTTAATAGGGCCATACTGATCAACCAAACCTTAACCCATGGCATCAGGTCAGTGAATGGAAAAACCTCTGATTGGTTGACAAAGTTCAGGAACAAAAACAGACATTAGATTGCCAATACAAGACCCCAGACAATAAGACACGGGACAGAAGCAGGAGACGAGGACACACAGCCTGACCTGAGCTCCAGGCAGGCAGACAGACAGACAGACAGAAAGAGAGAGAGCAGCAAGGCCCGGGCAGTTTTACCGATGGCCAGCTGGGGCAGCGTGCAGCCCAGCCGCTCCGCAATGGCCTGCAACTCTTTCAGCTTCGCCTGCTGACGGCGGCCTTCCTCACTCAGGATCTTGTCCTTCAACCACTGGTAGCCCTGTTTCAAACAGACAGCACACCTGCTCAGAGAGCCACACACCACCGGCTGATGAGCCACAGGAATAGCTGCTGGATATTAATTGTGTTTGTGAAGTAATGAAGGAATGGATGATATCTGCACACACAGCCACAGGAACATGTTTTATGAGCAGGTGCTGATGGGATAGTGCAGTGGGAATATGATGGGTGCCAGCTGCCTAAAGGTGGTGAACATCATACTTCTCAAACTTTTGCTCAACTGATCATACTCTCACAAGAAATAGGACAGGGCTATGTTGTAGACATTAATTATTAATCATTAAATGAGAGTTGTATAATGTTACAATTTATGCTACTTGCTGCTAGACCAAAGCACATCTCGTATTAAAAAAAACCTGCATGCTGGTTTTTTTTTTCATGGATCACACACACACTACTGTTCAAAATTGTAATAGTTGGGAAGATTTTATGTTTTTGAAAAAAGTCTCTCTTGCTCACCAAGACTGCATTTATTTGATTAATTAAGTGCAGTAAAACTGTAATATTATGAAATATTATTACAATTTAAAACAAATGTTTTCTATTTTAATACAAATAAAAACGTAATTTATTCCTGTGATGGCAAAGCTGAATTTTCAGCATCATTACTTCAGTCTTCAGTGTCCTTCAGAAATCAGTCGAATATGCTGATTTGGTGCCAAAGAAAAATGTCTTTGTTGAAACTGTGATACATTTTTATCAGGATTTTTTGATGAATAGAAAGTTCAAAGGTACCGCATTTGTTTTAACAATAATATAAATGCAATCTTTAATGTCACTTTTAAACAACTGACCCCAAACTTTTAAATGATAATGTTGATTTTAGTATACTGTAAATAATAGTAGAAATACAATTTTGGGGGTGATATTTCAAAATGATTAACAAGCACAAAACTGTAAAATATTTAATTTAATCTGCAAATAAATTTTAAACTATTTTGAAAATATGCATGCTACTTTTCATATTTTGAATACTTTTCAATGCAATATGTACAGTATACAATATGTATACGTTTGGATTTTACGGCTTTTTATTATTTTTTTATTTGTAATTTTGTTGCTTCCATACTTAATTCTAATCATGTTAATCATGTATTATCATGCAAATTATGTAGATTTACAAATGTTTATGTGTACATCAGGTGAATCTGCTATGGACATGTTGAGCATGTGTTGCAGTCTACTTACATCTGTATGTATTCTTATGCATACAATGCAATGTACAGTAAATAAAATCTTTCAGAAATCAAAAGCACTCGATGGCTGTGCGTAAAGTTATGTATGAAAAGCCACTATATCACAGCAAAGAAAAGAGAAGAAACACAAAAGTTTGTGCATTCATCTACACGATGAATGTAGATGACAAGTGTGCAGATGAGTTGGAGCACTTCACAATCCAATAAAGTGATTCATTTGTGAATACAAACGAAAACTCAACAAGGCCTTCATTTAAAACACACGCAGTCATCAATGAAGACCACCACCAACAACAGCCAGGACAGACCATAACACATAGCCGAGGAATACCTTGAGAGAGGCTCTGGAATAAGGAGGCACACCGCTGTCATACTTCCCTGAGATGATTCCACAGGCCAGCGGAGACCACGTCATGGCTCCCACACCTGCACAAATCAACCAGCCACCATTACAACAACTCCGTTACTTCATTTAATTTTCTGAGGTTGCATGAAAAATAGCGTTTCTCTAGCAAAAACACACACACCTATCTTATGGAAGAGTTCAGGCAACTGTACTTCCACTTTTTCTCTCTGAAACATGTGATATTCGGCCTGCTCACAGACAGGTGGGATCAGGTTAAACTGTCGCGCCACAGAGTACGCCTCCTGAAAAACACAGATTCACAGCTGCTCATAATAGAACAAATCCATTTATATGTGTGTGCAGATTTCTTTATCATCAAAAGCATCTCCCTACATGCACACGTAAGATCTGTTTTTTTCTAGTTGTATATAAAACAACGACAACTGGAGGATGTTTTACAAGAAAATACTATTTTAACCTTTCTACTTCTACGTTCAGTTTAATTCAATGTGTTACTTACCATGTAAATGTAAAAGTTGTTTAAAAGTAAATTCTATACCAACATTTTTCAGTGCATTAGCCCAACAACAGAATAATTTTAATTTGTGACCATGAATTAAGTACAATATAGCCACAATTTACTAGAAAAAAGAACAAATTAGTACAGTGTTGCCACAATTTACTAAAACAAGGGAACAAATTAGCACAATGTCCCAAATTTACCAAAACGAGGGAACGAATTAGTATAATTTGACCATGATTAAATAAAATGAGGGACAAATTAGTATAATGTAGCTACGATTAACTAAAACAAGGTAACAAAATCATTATTTGTGGTCATGATATTTCTTTCGTACATATGAGAGCAAAATAATAAAAAAGAATGACTGTCATTTGCCATTATGACAGCAAAAAAGGTAAATTTGTAGGTAAGTAGTGGCTGAATTACATTAATCAGCATAATGCTCATCTATCCAAAATACACTGACAGCAAATGAGATACTGAAACAACCCGAAAACGTATTTTATATAACATTCATCTTACTGAAAACAAAAAGGCTTTATTTTAATGGGTTAAACAATTCACTGTGCTTTCAAACCCACCATAATCTCCATGGAGCTCCAGCGGGACGTGCCCCAATACATGGCCATTCCCTGGTTAATCACATGGGTCATCGCTCGAACCGTCTCTGCCAATCACAATATTAACTATCAAAGTCCGGACAACACTCAGATATTGAAGGACCGAGGAACAAAAGCAGATGTGATCAGAGAGTATCTGAGAGATAGTAAGACGACCGTAATACACCTAGCTAGTAAAAAATAAGGACATATATAACAGTAAAGTAATGGAAGTGGCGCAGAAGTACATTCTGAGAAGCAACAAAGGCCATTATTAATATTTTCTTTATACAAAGTGACAGGGCATTAAAAATGGCCTGAAGGTTATGCATGTTATAGTAACTCTACTCAAAGAGTTTCTCAGTGGGTGGAAAATAAATCAGAGTGCGACTCCGGACTGCATGACATCTCCACAAGGCTGCATTTCATTGACATTTAGCAGAGGAGCAATTTTCCACGGTCCAGCCTACAATCTACTTCATGTCATGAGATTATTACACTGCTGCATGAACATACCCTATAATGAGAAAGAAACCAGATAAAATGGATTAAAAAAACTGTTAATAATAGAAAATATCTGTCAAGTGCTATAGCGAACATTGAAGTAGTTTCACACAAACATTAATCTAAGTAGTAGCAGGTCTCCATCCTTCAGACTTAGATTCTCGAAAAGGTTTCGATTAGCAACATTTTAAAGGATTCCAAAAAGCTGCTTGTTTAAAAATGCATTTTGTGGGTCTACGTAGTCTCTACAGTCTCTTTTTTATAAATCCACATTAGATGCCAATATATTTACTGTGTTCCTATTCACATAGTTTACTGTTACACATTTCTGTATTTTATACAGAAATTCCCACATATTAAACTGCAAAAAAATAAAATATATACTTAAATAGACAAACATAATCAAAAAGGTCATATGACAAATCATCCAATTATGTATTACTATTATTTAGTAAGTAAAACACTGCAGGCAGGAGAGGACAGCATTCACAAACCTCTAGTAAATCAAATTTCCAATCTGTACTAACATATGAAGACAAACTGTGTTCACATGGTAGAATTTTTGCAATTTACCCGTAGCAGTTTGTCTTTTTTTTTAAGATTTGTGAATAATATCAGTGTGAACAATTAGTAGACAAAGAGAAAATATCAAAAATGACAGACGCATGCAAAAAAGAGAGTAGCCACTTGCAGTAATAAAATATTCGCATGCAGGGAAGCGGAGGACACTGCAGTCAATCATCTTGCATCTTTTTTTTATTGGTTTTAAGAAAATCCAAATATTAGGCTAAAGCATAGTATGAGCAGAAGCAGGTTAAAGTGTTTTAATATATTGAATTATTTACATTTCATTATAATATGAATAATATATGCAACTGTATTTATGTCTGAACTGACAGAAAAAAACAAACAAAAAACAAGCGAAGCCCCAAAATTGATCCGCTCGACACCTACATAAGTGCATTTCTAGGAAAAATGAATAATGGAGAAGATATTAAAATGGAATTAATGGTAAATATTCAACAACAAAAAAATGGTTTAAAAAAAAGACACTATAATCACGGGTCAGTAAGATGCAATGACCTTCTCCAAATTTCACTTGCAAGATGGGCAGGATAGTCAAAGAAATCAATCATTCTACGGCATACAAGGTTTAATATGAACTTCTGGAAATCTTCAGCATTTTATGGACAAAGTCAGGTTTCTCACACCAGGAAAAGAGGGCAAACTATCACAAATCAAAGCCATAAAATGCTTTTGGAGACAGGAGGTCAAAACTCTCACTGAGGGTACCATGTACCTTCTATGATGAATGTTCTTGATTTTGAAGTGTTAAATGGATCTCCTGGTGATAAACAAACAAACAAAAGACTATGAAAAGAGGTTTACCAACCAGCAAATGGAATGAAATCTCTGAAGAAGAAAAAAAAAGGCAGCAGAACTGGACCAGTGCATGATACTGCAAATCCACGCTTGAACTAACGAGGTCTGTGCACAAGCACGAGCAACCATGACCTCAGAAGCATCAGGCTCAGTCTCAATCTGTCCACATACCCCTCACAGATGTACAGCATGGTATCGTCACAGTTTAGTCAAGTTAGGCTCAATTAACAGCATTTGTAAGATGTCGATTACCTCAATTTCATTTCCCATCCCTCATTTTCTTTAAAAAAAAAAAGAGACGAAAATAGAGGTTACACTGAGGAAGTTACAATGGAAGTGAATGGGACCAAAGTTTGGAGGGTTTAAAGACAGAAATGCGAGGCTTACGATTTTATAAAGGCACTTAAGATTAATTCTTGTCTTAAAACGCAAGCATTATTTGAGCTGCAAAGTTGTTTAGATCAGCATTTTGGGAGTATTTTAACATTCCATTTAACTTCCATTATAAGTACCTCACTGTAAGCCAGATTTTAGCCCTTGTTTTAAGGAAAAGGAGGAACAAATCCAAATTAATTTCTGTGGTAATGAAAATTATGCGCTAAATTATGTCAACTTGAACTGACCTTGTATTCGTTTAATATCTCACCATTCTTAAGGAGGGGAGCATTATCAGCCAATCAGGACTTTAAAGAAATGTGGGGACGAAAACATACTGGTCTGACTCCATTAAAGCTACCATGCTATAGTGCTGTGAATATGCCAAGTAACCTAAAATCTTTCAGTCATGCTGCTTCGGTTGTTTAGCCCTCTAAACTATTGCTTTCTATAATGAAAGATCTACTGCGACGAGATGTAGATGTACTAGTCCACTTAATGCGTTTGTAAAACTCTCCAAAGCGAAAGCATGCACTCTTCCTCGACTAAATTATAACTTGACTCAACCATTAAATGCATAATGGATGCAACTGCTGTGATGCAAACTTGAATCATCTTGACAGCACACTTAGACAACATGCTCCATTCACTGCTCAATGTTCCGAGACAGACAATTAATTATTCCGTATGACATAGTTTATTACAAAATAAGTGGGATGATTAGACTATTTTTGGAACTTTTGCACCGTAAAGGTTAAACAACTCTCTGCCATTGGTCTCAATGTGTCTGATCTCTTTTATGAGTTGCTCTGATATAGTCCCATGCTTCCGTGCAAAGCAGTTAAGTGAGCCATTCCAGTGCTGGGAGTCAAAGATGCAAAAACTATCCCAGGATCCCATCAAGCACATCTACCTTCCATTGGCGTGTTGGGGTCAGGTCTGTTAGCAAACACTACATCCACATACTCTAATTGAAGTCTCTCCAGTGATGCCCTTAGACCTGAAGGCCAGAAAAACAAAGACTATTTAAAGCTGAAATGTGCTATTTTATTTTAACTACATTTCCCTTTCCATTTATCTGCAATCATGAATATTTTTAACACGACTTACCCTCTATTATGTGCTTTCTGGACAAGCCTCTCTCTGTTTCTGCTCTGAAAAACAAACAAGAATGTGACAAGTATTACTACTTAAGCTTACTGGATGTGTTTTTAAAGTCAGCATGATGTAAATTCACCTCTATTTTCTAAAGTCGTGTTATTGAACTCATTGTGAATGATTCTTTAATTATTAAAAAAAAAAAAATAGTTTGACCTTGTTATTTTTAATGAAAATGTCAGCTTGATCTTCCGGTGAAATGACGGACTTCTCTCTGGTGACGTATGTCAGACTTCTCCAATCATTTAGTCAGCTTAAATCCCGCCGGCATTCAGATCTGCCTTCATCCAATCAACAAATGACGCAGTCCCCATCCATTTTTTTAAATAATCCACTCAAATGTATGTCACAATACGGAAGAAAACATCTATTGCTACTTCTGTTTCATTGCAAATTTAATGTGATGCATATGTGCAGTGGTGCACACATAATAATCAGTGATCCTTCTCAGGTAAATTTACTAAAGGTCACATTTAATATGGCCACTGATTCTGTATGTGAGACTAATTAATATCAAAATGTAAGCACAGTGGCAATTTAAACCCATTAATGTTTGATGGTGACCTCACATCAGTGCACGGCTTTGGCCTTTAATTTGCCCTGAGTGAAAGAGCACAGCTCAGAGGGGGGATTCGACCTGGATCATTCTCCAGTGAGGGTCTGCAGGACTTCCCTTACTATATCCCACACCCAGCTTCACACTCTCACTACTATGAAAGAGACTATCATTAACCTGCTTCCCCTGTTGCTCTCGCTGTCGGGGGAAGGTATGAATCATCGTTAACCTCTTTCTGACACACACACACACACACACACACACACACACACACAGCACTTACTTTCCACCCCAGTATATCTTGGTGGTGATGACCAAACTGGAACGTCTATGAAACACAGGAAACAAAGTGGTTGAAGGCGAAACAAAGGCAAGGACGGGCCACACATCACGATGACTGATGGGTAAACAATGGTGTCAGTTTAGGCTGCAGGAAATTACACTGTAGTTACACTGTAGTCCAGTTAATGAGAAGTCCAGGAACCACTGTATTTGAACATCATAATCAGGGCTTTACATTTTTTTTCCAACTAAATTAAATCCAAAGTACTGTATTATATTATAATAAATAAAATAAAAATAAAATAGAATAGAATACAAATGAAATAGAAATAAATAAAATAAAATAGAAAACATTTTTAAATCTATTAAATATTCTTAAACCTATTTTTAAATACTAATTGACAACTTTTTTTAATTAATTTGTATTATTTGTATTAAATAAAATTTGTATAACAAATAAAATAAAAATATTTTTTAAATAAATAAAAGTATATATATATATACAGTGGGTACGGAAAGTATTCAGACCCCCTTAAATTTTTCACTCTTTGTTATATTTCA